AGGCCGCTACTTGCCCGGAGAGGAGCGCCGTGCTTGAACCGTGTGCAAACGATGTCCTTGTCGTCGAGCGTGGACGAGTTCAGCCAGCAGTCGGCACAGCGCGCTTCTTCGCATAACGCACCCCATCCGCACGCCCGCAGCTGAAGTATGTGTTGTACGCCCCGATCAACGTCTTTTCATCGGGATGAAGAGGGCCCGTGGCAATGCGGGACTCCCACCCGCCTCCGCCGGCGTCGTTACCCCTAGGCGACCCGGCCTCCCACAGCACGCTTGTCCAGGTTGCGGCGCCGGGGAACTGAGCAGCACGTTGAGCAGCCGTTGGGGTGCTAGCGGCGCGAGCGTCCGTCGGGACGAAAGACAATCCCCCCGGCAGAACATGTCCCAACGACCGCAGCACCGCAGAGCAGCCGGAGCCAGCCTTGACGGTCTCCACTACATGAAAATATAAAAAGGCGGGTCGATCTACTCGGACAGTCTCAAGAACCTGAGAGAAACTTCTTCATACATTCTCTCAACTCACCATGTTCTTCAATGGCCTGGACGTAGTGCAGAGCAGAGTGCACGGTTGTCCTCACGCCTCCCCTCCCTAGCAATTCCGCATACACCCCCACCTGCACCACAACACCCAAAAAAAACAAAAAAGAAAAGGCAATGAAACTGGTGCGCACTTGAATGACATGATGAAAACTGCTGCGCTTGTTGCTGGCGCGAGGACTACGTACCAGCAGAAACTTTGGGTTTATACTTTATTTGTCTTACTCCCGGACCTGGGAGGACGATGTTTTAAACATATTATTGTGATCTACCGTCGCCCTCGTGTTGTCCATAGGAGGGTGTGTGTGTGCAACAAACATGAAATGGGAACATTTTCGTAGGAGCAATGGTTACAAGAGACGCCGCGAGGGAAACGCCAAGAAGTGCGTGGGGATATAACGTTTGTTCGAGCTTTTGAGAAATCCGAAAGTTCCACCAAAGCAAAGGGTCTTGAACAACAAGCGGTAACAAATCAACGAGATGTTATTCGGGACGGAGGTGTTAGGCCTCTGTGAGGAAAAGGTAACATTGAATTCAATCGGAATTCCGAAGTGCCAAGCCTAGGCATTCGCTGGTATATATATTGTAGAAAGGACGATGGGCTAGGGTCAATGCTGGGTAGACAACTTGCACGGCAATCTGTCAGACACGGTACGAAAATTGTCTCTGAAGGCCCTCACCGTGTCTCGGGCATGCTCCATGAGCTTCTTGCGTTCAGCCTTATAGAAGGACGGCGAACGAACTGCGAACGTCAGAGCAGACGCCACTTGCAACAGCTTCCGCAGTTGCGCCAACACGGCCTGCTCTCCTCCCCATGTGTCTTTCAAGGCTTGTAGCTCTCGTGGCTTCACGTACTCTTTCTACGCAAGATGGATGCGAAAAGGTGCACCAAAAATAAAAAGGTGCTTGGACATTGATGGTTGTCCACATAATCTCCGCAACCCTACGGTAGCTCATCATAACGCACCCGTCGAAATTATCGTATATTTGCAGGGGGCCGCGGGCAGAACATCTTTAATCGTTTATTGGTAAGCAGTATTTTCACGGGAACCACGGCATATCGCATGAACCCGCAAAACAACCCGCACCCTCACGTGTAGGCAATACAGAACAATATTACCAGTGCTGTCGCGTCATGGAGGACACAGCGGGACACAAGCAGCAGGATCGATCCCAATAGCCACTTGTCACTACCCTTCAGGGAGGAATAGTTAGTGCATATGTCTTTCAATGGTGCTGTAGCTGGTGGGTACAGCGTGCTGCCTTGCCATAGGATGGAGAATTCACTCCCCGGCCAGCTTCGTTCAGGAGGGCCAGAAAAAAAACCTGCACCAACGCCTGCGCCCCTGCGGTAAACAGTGTACAGGTCGAACACAAAAAGGCGGGGGCGCATTGGGGAAATCAACATGATGTGCATTCATGCTATACTGCAATATCGCTGTGCTTTCAAGGGGTGCTTGCACGGTGGTATAATCAGATGAGGTTTCCCACGAGACACAACATTCAGGCCACTGAGACAAAACACATTACATGTGCCCACATATATGCGTCAAACTTACATGCTCCCACAACGCTGTCTACTTTTGGACGCGAGCATGTCAGGCTACACATGCATTCTGTGCCCCATTGGATGAGTTTCACAACGAAAATAAACAATAACAACCACGATGCCAGAATGGAACCTTCCGGCATTGTGGCCGGGTGTGGGAAGCCGTTCTTTTGGGCCTGAAGTTAGTCTCCTCTACTTCTTCCCTTTCGCACGCCCTGTTATTTTCTATCGTTTTTCCAAATCTGGTATGTATCATAGTCCTTGATTTAGCGTCGGCGATCACGCAAGACCCCCCCGCGGGGCCCAGTTTTAGTGTCGTGGGGCGCCCATGTACCATATTTTTGCTGTTCCTTTGCGCGTGGAGTACCTAGTTTTGTGACCACGGGTTCCCATGGATGTTTTAGAATCGAGAACTAATGTGAGAAAAAATGTACTCATAGTCGTGCATGCCGTAGTCGTTAGACCATTGACCTCGCATGCCTACAAAGCCGGGACGGAGCACGCCGGGTTCTCACCGGACCAGGCTCTTTCTAATGTGAGAAAGAAAGAGAAAAAAGTGGAACTGTTGGGTAGGGCCAAAACGACAAAACGACTCACCAGCGCATCGGCATGAAGACTCTCGACGGGGACGTGCCGTGCAGGGTTAATGAACACCTTGTCCCACAGCGGGCGTCCGAGGACACCGCCGCTAACTCCCGTAGGCGCCATTATTCCTAGTTCCGCCGAGCGCTTCGTCTGCTCGTTCGGGGCCAAGTCCAATGCCTGCAACTCGCGCCAGCCATCTTGGGCTTCCCCCCACGTCCGCCTATTTGCCTCAACGTCGTACCTTGCGTTCCCGAGGTCGCCGCAAGTTGGAAGACGTTCTTCTTGGTCGGCCTTGCAATACGGGCACGGTAGCTTGGTGGAATTGTTGGGGTGCTTGCAGTACAGCAGAATCGCTCTTTGTGGGGAGTCTGACACCCACGTGAGCGGACCCCCACGTAGAAAAATCTGAGATACGACAAAAAAAAGCCATGTCACACCATGTCACAACATATCTGGTTGTTTCAGCGGGGAAACGTGCCACAGAGAGGGTTGAATCGTCGCACAGAAGGCGAACTATATCGACGAGAGCAATAGACACCTTAGTGTACCAGCGAGGCGACAATGAAGCGTCATCACTGCGTTATAGTGCAATGAATACTTTACAAAAAACACCAACCTTTTCCACGAAAAGCGTTCGATCCACGAGAAAAACAGGCACTTGAGTTCATCCACGAGGGGACAAAGAACGTCTTCGCATAATAATGCGATGAATGCTCTACAAAAAAACACAAATCCTCTCCACTAAAATAATTTGATATATGCCAAATGTCAACCCACAGCACTTGCGTCGACGTCGAGCACTCGTCCATCCGCTGCACGAACTCTTGCTGTCCCCTCACAGCCTCGCTGTACCTCGCCCATTACACTTGCCTGTAGCGAGATCTCCCCCTCGACGCATGCCCCTGGAGAAGCGATGGTGCTGAGGAGTGTCTCGGAACGCCTACGTTGCACCTGGTTGCTTGCCCACCCCCACCCGAAATAGGTGGCCCCCACAGAGTGCTTCCGAGCAGCGTATATGTAGGAGGCAGTAGGGAACGTATGTTAGCTCGTTATTTACTCGTTGCAGCAGCAGAAGCAGCAGCAGCAGCAGCAGCTTTTACGTTGTGGGGGAGCGACGAACGAACAGGAACTCGGTTGTTGTAAGCATGCAACTCCCTGACAAATCCGAAGTATATTTTCATGATCCCAATTCTCACCGTAGTCGTGAAAAAATCGAAACGCTGGTTTGAGATGCCACGGGGCGGTGTATAGTCATCTATCACGCAGAGCCAATATACTATCTGGCCTCTCAATTCTACCATAAGACGCGTGCCTGAGCACGCACGCGGTGGTTTTACACACGGAGTTGGATCGTACTCACCAAGGGAGCTAGCGCTGGACGCGCGGGGAGCGGGGGGTGTCGTAATACTGTATGTTTAAGATGAAGAATCACACCGGTTCCACATACCTTGATGGACATTGACCATGCGTTGAAAGCATCGTTGAAGACACAGAACGGGATGCTCGCGAAGACGAGATTTTTCTTGTTGTACCGGAAGTCTTTCTTTCGGATGCCAAACAGGGGCTCATCACCGGTGCCTTCCCTTGCCCACGATGCTGACGACTCCACGAAGGGAGGCGGGCTCCGAAAACTGTCTCCTTGCCTTCTTCGTTTCTGCCGCTTCACGATAAAGCCCTCCCCTACGAAAGCATCCCAAACAGCCCAACGAACGCCCCCTTCCCACTCATCTTCGAGATGCATGGATCTGGACACCTCTTCGCGCGTGTATATTTCGCACAGGTCCTGGATGGTCGTGCTGTGCAAAATACCCTTGGAGCTCGTGCATTCCTCTTCCCACACACGTACAAGTCCCTCGATTCTCTCACCACCTTCTATGTCGCGAACCTCATTCCGGGTACGGAAACGTCGGACGGCAACCAACAACGTATCCTGCTCCATATCCCAATACCATTCCAGCAGCCTAACCGGAACCGTGTTTCCGTCACTCATGGTTACCATGACAACGTCGTTCACGTAAACCTTGCGGTTGCCGGTCCTTGCCCCCAACAGGCCATCAAAACCAAAGAAAGGGGAGTTTCGAGCGAGTCTACCGTGCATTCTCGTACTCAACGCGTTGCCTGCCGGCTCTGTTGGCACCGAAAAAAGGTGGTTGCTGCTCAATCCGTTTGGCTCTGCTTCTTCGGCTCTGAGCACTTTACCGCCCGAATTCTGCACACATGTCTCGATGAAAGACGGGGATTGTATCTTACGGTTCACGAGCAGGTTGCACGGTATATCATAAAACAGGCACAGAAGTTCCGTTGTCCTTCGAGGAGGGTACAAAGGTCTCGACTACGTCTAAAAGTGGGTGGTGAGCTCTTCGCCTGCCGTAGAAGTGTTTCGCTGTGATGTGTCGGATGTCGTCAACATCGAAACCTTTGCCATTGTGACGCGTGCGCAAAATAGCCAATAGACCCGTCAACATGACCTCCGATACTTGGTACTTGTGGACAAGCTGATAAAACAGCAGAACCGACAGATTTTCATACGGAAAATACGGAGAACGCTTCGCCTTGGTGTTAAAAGCACATAAACGTGCCCCCCCCTCCATGACTTTTCCACCAAGACCGATATGCACTTCGTCAAGTCGCTTCGATTCCCCCCACTCTCTGTTCCCCGCAGTAGTATCCGGTGGGTCATTGGAGTCCTTCAAATCGGGTTCGTCGCGAGAATCGTCCGAATCAGTCCCCACACCATCTCCATGCCACTGCTGGTAGTTGGCCCACCCACCATCGGGACCCACCGGTTCATCGTCGTCGTCGGAAACACCGGGGTCGCAGCGGCCGTCGACGGCAAGCTCGTCCAGTCGTTCAAGCAGAGGCCGGTAGGGCAGGAGAGGTGGTTCCTCTGGAGGCAACTCCGTCGCATCGTTACCACTTGGCATGTCTGGGAAGTCTTCGTTGCCTTGCTCACCATCATCAGGGCTCTCTGGATCAGTATCCATTGCTTCCGCCCGTGACGGGTAATGACGAGCGCCTAGAGATGAATCTGGGTGACGGTGCATCGACAGAGAGCCATAGGGAGAGTGACTGACAGACACACAGACGTGAAAAGCCGGCGAGAGAGGGGGGGAGGGAGAGATTGGTCCCAGTACAACATAATAGACATAAAAAGCGTGTCGTATGCAAGACTTCTCCCTGTCGCTTGCTCTTTTCGTATGCTCGTTATGTCAGCGAGAGAGAGCTCGACGGGAGAACTAGCACGTTGACCCCTCTGTGAGAGAGATTTTTCCCTGTATTGAGCTGGTACACGGACGAGAGCGGCGGTATTCCCGGCGTTCAGAGTTTTTGGGGTGCATATTGCACCTAACCACCCCGAATAAGCACCTACCATCCCAACTTGGCAGCTGTCGTGCCGCTTTCTGTTGATCACACCGCATCGCCAGGCGCGTTGTCGAAGTCGTGTTGACCGAGAACAGAATCTTGCGAACCTCAGATGCTACGTGGAGCATCGTATCAGGAAGAGCTAGCGAGCGGAGTTCGAGGTCACGTGAGTCAGCAGCAGCATCACTTTTGTCCCTCGAACTGTCGTCTTGTGTGATGTGGGATGTGCTGTGGTCGTGGGGGACTACCTAACTAAACCTTTACTGTCGCCTTCGTAGAGCGGTGGGATTTGCTCATTGTGCATACAAGAGTGAAAGCTGGGAAGTTCCACGGAGGTATGCCATGGTACGTTGTTGTTTCATTGTTGTTCCTGATGCTCGTAGGCTGCTTTAAGAAAACTACTCATGTACATACGGCAGCCGCGGTTCTCTTACGCAGCTGATGCACAGCTCACGCGGTGAATAAGCCCACGTGTCACGAGGCAGGCGGACGCCGGGCATGCCCCCGATCGAGTGTTGGTTGGAAGCGTGTCGAAAAGCTCAGAGGATACACACAACACGATGGTGCTGCTGTGGTGTAATGTTTCTGTGCATCACACGTAAAAGTCTATTATATAATAATACTAAAACTGCATCACGTATTCATGCACATCAGCGGAAGTCTCGGTTGTACTGTTCTGCCGGAAGGAGAGGGAGCAGCCGCGAACAATATTATTTTGAGACTCTGCGTTAATGTTCAAAGCTTGCCTTGTTGATGCCCCTCATGCCTTTGACCTTCTCCCGGCATGTTACCACCAAGCCCATTTCCACCCCTGCTGGTGTGTGAGGCTGCTCTCGGCGAAGCTCCCGCCGTCTCCGACGGTGCGGCGGAACTGCACCGACGGAGATGTCTGTTCCATTGTGTGGTAAGGTGTGTCAGTGTAGCCACAATCGCAGAGAAACCCCCCCCTCTGACTGCCTCCATCATTAATGAGCGTGCTCGACATCCCACGTACTCCACTCATGCCGTGATAACAGGCGAGATCTCCTGCGAACCCTGCAGTACTCACAGGCCAGGGGCACCGCGGACGATACATGTAAAATTGAAGGGTGCCGTAAGTTGAGCGGATGCCCCCCCCCCACAAAACGGCCACAGCCAGGAAAGACAGCAAAAAAACTACCACGGCGGAGAGGCGATTGTGGTCATCAGGCTCCCCTGGGCATTTCGGAACACACTGGACACCTCACAGCCACAGATATACCCACCGCTCCTGCGCACTCTCGAGGTATGTGGCTTATACTTGCTTTGAAATTTGTGGTTCACCACGCGTTTACTTTTTTTAACCCCTGCCTCGTCTCTCTGTTTTTGGAGTAGAAAACCACACGCGAGACCTATACCCCGCCACACAACCAAACAAAACCCAAACCACCACCAGCGCATCTACCCACCATCCACCGCAGCATGTCTTCACCTCGCCGCTCTTCCTCGTCGTCCAACGCCTACCCCAGGGCCGCTGCCTCGTCCTCGCAGCGCCGGGGTCAGCAAGTGACGCCTGCCGTCACCCGACGCCAATCGTCCGGCGGCGCGCGTAAGGAAGACACGGAGAATCGCCAGTCTGCTGGCCGTGGAGCGCCCAGCAAGAGCAAGGTGAAAGGTGGCCGGCGCTCTGCCCGCAATCCGTTCTCGGCTGGCTACAAGAAGCGAGCGGCATCTGCGTCTCCTCGTGCCACATACACAGAGGAGGTATGTATCAGAAGGAAGAAGAATTTTCCCTTTTCGAAGAAGAGTTCTCTTGTGTTTTGGTGGTCTTCTTTCGAAAACAAGAAGAGGGGTGATATGATTATCTTTCAAAACGGGTCCTATGGGCTGGCGCGGTCCGCCGGTCTATTTGTTTGCATGCCTGCCCACGTGTTGGTAGTTTGCTGTTGCTCGTTACAACACCGGTTTAGTCATTTCATTCGCCGCGCAGTGGTCAACCAACGCTTTCATTTTCAAATGCGTACTCGTGTCATGCATGTGTGGGCTCACACTGCTATAACTTTCTTATCTATTAGACTGTTTCGGAGCACAAACGGCACTACTTCTAGATTTTACTTCTAGATATAGGAAGAACGACGGTTCCCGGAAATTTATTTGATGGAAACCACGCGTCGCCATCAAAGGAGGAGGGAGCAGGTGGCGACGAGCTGAACTGGGCTGGTTGACCCCTTCGGCGCGAGAATTTTTACTTTTCAGACCAAGAACCTTGAGTGCAACGAGGGAGAAAGCGAGGAACCGACTGGGAAGAACAGCAACGGGAGCGTGTACGGACGGAGCAGGTCGAGTGGCGTTATGCTCGGGCTGACTACAGCGGCGCCGGACGGAGCAGCGGCACCGGAGCATGCGGGCGACATCGACCCGTGGCGCAC